ATCCTCACACATTTTGTGCATGAACACCGTTTGGTGATTCTGAGTATAAGGTACGCAACCCTCGTCGACACACTCTCAATCTTTATAACGTTGTTAACGAGAGATTTGTGGACGATTTATCCGACACCTCCTTGGGACAGATGGTCGCCCTCCCGGTGATAGAATAAGTTGCTGGATTCGAGGATTATTATGTCCTCCCCTCTCTTCGGACCTCAGATAATCCTATAATATTCCTTCGCAACTTGTCTATTTCTTCTTCCAGCTCCAGGATCTCCTCGCCAGTCCTCCGGGTTCGTGCGTTTTAAGAGCGAGAGAGTCATTACGAATCGTCTCGCACGCAGATTCGACGACTTCCAGCCTCCCGAACAAGCCGGTTTCCGAAAAGGCTTTAGCACCATAGACCACATACATACCCTTCGGCAAATTGTACAGATGACTGAAGAGTACATTCTGCCACTTTGTCTTGCGTATGTGGACTATGAGAAAGCCTTTCTCTTAGTTCTTCCGTCGAAATGTGGACGGTGCTGCAGTCCCTCCAGCGGTGCCAAGTGGACTGTTGGTATATCGAAGTGCTGAAGTGTTACGTGGATACAGTAGGGCTACGATGGCTATCCGAGTACAGAAGCAGAGTACGAAGCCTATCCAACTGCAGAGAAATGTAAGACAGGGTGACGTTATATCCCCGAAACTCTTAACTGCTGCATTGTAAGATGTTTTCCAGCTACTGGACTGTAAAGGATACGGTATCAACATCAATGGCGAGTACATCACTCACTTTCAATTTGCCGACGATATAGTCCTTATGGCAGAATCACTGGAGGACCTAAGCACTATGCTTAATAGTGTATCCCAACGGATAGGTCTTAAGATGAACATGGGCAAAACAAAAATCATGTTTAACGTCCATGTCATACCTATGCCGGTAGTTGTTCTGAACACTAAGCTCGAAGTTGTTGACGAATATGTTTACCTGGGACAAATAGTCCGACTAGGTAAGTCCATAAGACATATCTTCTCGTTAGACATAGCTCATAACCTCAAAACTAGACTGTGCAACCAGTGCGTGTTGCCAGTATGTAGTAGTGTAGTACCTATGGATCTAAGATGTGGTCCTTCACTACTGGCCGTATGAGGAAGCTCAAAGTCGATCAGCGAGCTATGGAAAGGGCAATGCTCGGGGTTATGCCGCGTGATAGACTTAAAAACTGACGGCTCCGTGGCGCAGTGGCTTAGCAATAAGTTGTTGCGTTGGGGGCCGCAGGTTCGATTCCCGCACGGAACAAATAGCACAGCTATTAAATAAATAAAAATGATATTAACTCCTGGGAACAAGGCGATGGCTACCAAGCTTCAAACGCAGGACGGCTTTACGTGCTTTCCTAGGCAAGGGGGGTGGACACCGCCAACTTCCTAACTTCGGGCATATAGGTACTGCGAATTTCTTGACGGAAACACTTCATAACAGATTTTTGGCCCAACCCGGAATTTGAACCTGGGCCCTTATGATCAACAGACGCGTTTACAAGCAAGAAACCAACAAGCAGTCAAATGGATGATATTAAATAATTATTAACTGTAAGAAAATAAATAAAGATAAATATCATTAACTAAAATATTTTATATTTTTATATTTGCAGCGGCAGAACGTAAGTGTCTTTTTAATTTTTGTAACATTAATGTAGACTTATGAACAGTTATCAATTTCACTAACATCACGATTTATTCTTTGAGCCGGGCTGATGTACGCAAATACATGTGTTAGCGCATATTTTGCGTGTCGGCAGGAATTGTAAACCAATCCGAGCATCTCGAGAAATCTTTGTGATTTCTTGATATTATCAATAACCGCGGGCAGCGACCACGGCGTCTCTGTGGCTGAAAAATGCGCTGTTTATTGCTCCATGCAGGCGCTGCACAGGGAGCTGTCTAACTAACTAGAGGGCTGTGTAAAACTAAAACAAACAAAAAAAGTTAAGTGTTTTTAAAACAGAGTTGAAGTCACTACTTATAGAGACATGTATTTATAATATTGATGAATTTTAACTATATAGTAGTCAGAATATTTATTTAAATGATAAGAAATTTAATAGTTAGTTTATTTTTTATTTCATTTTATTTTGGAAGTTTAGTTTATTTTTTTAAATTATGGAGTAGGTTGACATTTGCTAGCTTTCTTTTAATTGGTTTTACTTTATTATATAATGTAAATAATATATTATTGAACATTTGTGATGCATATTAATCGTTAAGTAGGTAGAATAATGATATACATAAGAAAGGTACAATGACATTTATTAGTTAATTTATTTAATTTTTTTAAATTAATTTAATTGTTTGATTATTATCTAATTTATTTATTTTGTTTAACTAAGTTAAGTTTTAGCAATGTAATAATAAGGACATTGCTGTAATATTCGTACACAATTTATTGATAATGAATAAAGACATTGATTCATTGATTGATTGTCAATATCACCTAAAGCATGCTTGGAATAAAACTAATTTTGCGGACTGACGACCGTTCCCGAAACGTGGGACATTAAAAAAGAAACATCCACTTACCAACAGTACACCTGTTTGTTCGCGCCAATTTGCACTACTCCTGAACGCTTATGAGATAAGTTAATTATTATCCAATAAAAGTACTGCAAAGCTATGATTCGGGTTTCCTATCTTACGCCTTTATACATTTTGCATGTGCACTCTGGTGTTAACGGGGTCCTCACAAGTTCAGAAGACACGAAAACGACCACATCGCTCCCAGCTCGCGTCCTAGCCTTTGTGTAATTTAGATATTAAACTATACAAAAATATCGCTATATTTTGCGATTATCTGTGAAATTTATATGTGTGAAGAAAGCCAAGTCCAATCATCGTGGCTGCAGCCCACGAAACACGAATCAGATCAGCATAAGTACAGGTGAGTGCACATGCAATCCTTCACATCCTCATTGTAGCCAGAATTTGGGGCATTTGCAGTATCGCGAAATAGTAAATTCGCACCGCATCGTACAGTCCATTAATTTACGTAAAATCGTCTTTTTAATAACTCTAAACCAGCAGTTGGTTGGAACACGCCAGTTTTGGACCATCTCGCTGAATTATAATTAATTAATTAACCATTTTTTTGGTCACTCCGGTCGAGATAATTTAAAAAAAGAAACATCCACTTACGTTACTTATTCTACGTGGTAGAGCCATGCTGCAACTATATTATGGTTGTAGCACGAATGGGTCGGCTCGACCGGGGAAGGACCACGCTCTCACAGAAAACCAGCGTAAAATAGCAGCTTAACGCTGCTGTGTTTCGTATGGTGAGTGTAGAGAACCGGATACCCTTTTTACCGGCAAAGAGGCATTCCATCTTAGTCCTCACGGGTGACAACGCATCTGCATCTTGAGTCTTTATTGAGGATAGATGTAGATGTCTATGGGTCACAGTAATCACTTACCATCAGGTGGACTGTGCGCTCGTTTGTCACCCGATCCTATAAAAAAAACCAACAGGTGGAATAACTGATGTTGAGTTGATGTTGTGGCTCATAGACATCTATTATCGTGGATTAAGAATTAAAATGCAGATGCGTTGTCTATTTGTTGTTGATTATTTGTAATATTAAATAAAATTTAAAATAATAATAATAATATATACCTAATAATAATAATAATATTTTGTATATAATTTATGATAAATAATAACATAACTTGACATTTTTGTAAGTAACATAATAGTATTTTAACTATTTTATATAATTATAAATATTTGCATGCCTATTAAAGGCAGAATATAGCATGAACTACGCACCACTGTTAAATCTGGTACCACCTGTATTCTGTGCAAATAAATGTTTCTTTCTTTCTTTCTTGAACATCAGATTACATGAAAGCTGCATACAACTTGTACAATCGGTGAAATTCTTAGGTGTTTATATAGACTCGTATTTAACATGGAAAGATGAATTAAATAATATAGAGAGCAAAATCAGCTCTGCATGCTATGCTTTGAGAAGCTTGAGGGAAGAACTGACCACGAAACAATTAAAAATTGTATATTATGCTCTAATAGAATCTCCCTTAAGATACAGTATTAAGTTTTGGGGCAATAGTTATGTCTATAATGTAAAAAAAAGGGTTTATTCTACAAAAAAGAGCACTTAGAATAATATCTCGCATACACAAGAGGCAATCATGTAGAGAACATTTTATAAATTTGAAAATCCTCACTGTGCTCTGTTTGTATATTCTAACTTTACTCACTGATCTTGTCGAACATCCGAACAGATATGAACCACCACACGAGACGAAAGAATATACCCAATGTCTATAATACAAAACTACAGGTTGTTGAGCATAGCGTCAGAAATCAAGCTATACAACTTTTTAATAGACTACCTAATGCTCTAAAAACCATAAATAATGTTAAATTTTTTCAACAAAGGTTAAAATCTTTTTTATTGGAAAAATGTTCATCAATTCAGTGAATGATTATATTGAGTTTTTTTTTTAAATTAGTATTGCATGCATTATTTAATTAATAATTAAGTCGAAGACATTTTTAGTAAACACGTATAATGTTAATTAATTAAATTTAATATTTTATGTTACAATTAAGTTTTCCCACACAATGTATATTGTTTTTGGAATAAATGACTATGACTATGACATTTACGCGGTAGAGCCATGTTGCGGCTATATTAGTAATAAAGGTGTGGTACGAATGGGTCGGCTCGACCGGGGAAGGACCACACTCTCACAGAATACCAGCGTGAAATAACAGGTTAATGCTGCCATGTTTCATATGGTGAGTGTAGAGAACCGGAGACCCTTTATACTGGATACGAGGCGTTTCATCTTAGTCCTCTAAAATTGAGGATAGATGTAGATGTCTATGGGCCACAGCATCCACTTACCATCAGGTGGACTGTGTGCTCGTTTGTCACCCTTATTTTATAAAAAATATTACAAGTTGTTAATACCGCTTGTTTTTTTTTTCTTCACAGAGTAAGGATGATTGAGTTAGAAATCGACGGTATGAAGCCACAGGACTTTGGCGATTACATCGCAGTGATACAGAATGGTGATGGCGTGGAGGAGAGGATCATAATAGCGACTGTTTTGAGTAAGTTAAATATTTTAAAGATGCAAGTAAGTCTAGATTTATTCATTGGAACGAAGTTCCTTATCGCGCGACACGAATTTGGCGGATGGGGCCTAGGCGAGAAAAAGCGTCGTACGAATTTTTCCGTCACGACCTCTTCTGAAGTAGTGTAGACGACCTTGGCGGCTATAAGGAAGTGAGATGGAATAATATCCATCTCACTCGCACTTTTTCTTATCTTGCCATGAAAGAAATATTATTTCAAATGACGCTTTATTTTAATAGACGCTAGTAATTCATTTATTTGTATTTGTTAATCAATAATAATATACTACGAAAGGAACTACCTTCCAACCGACTGTTCCACGACATTCACGCATGTTTTTTTTTAAAGTTAACCGTGTAGTGGCGGTGTAAGAATCACATACACACAAACACTCACGCCTGTCACCCAGAGGAGTAGGCAGAGACTACAGACTTCCATTTGGCACAATCCTGACACACCTCTCTCGCCTCCTTTACATCCATATATCTGCGCGTACACGCTCGTCGGTTAAGGGTACTCCTAATCTGGCCCATTTTCAATATATCGCCAATTTGGTCGATAAACTTTCCTCCAGGGGGTCCTTTGCCGAATATGCCGTATAAAAAAAATATTATTTACAAAATGACGACCAGTTAAACATGACGAATATAACATATTAAGATCAAAATGATAATTTAATGTGACTAAAATGAAAATAAATGGCATAGTCCCCCAGAACCGGAGACCCTTTTTACTGGAAACGTGGCGTTCCATTTTAGTCCTTAAGTGTGACAATGCATTCGCATTTTGTTTCTTAATTGGGGATTAAATGTAGATGTATATCAGCATCCAATTATCACTTCTGTAAAAGAATTATATGGATATGAAAGAAGTGAGGGAATAGTGTCGATACGATATGGGGTGGTCGATATTCTTACACCGACACTACACGGTCGACTATAGACTATCAATAATAAATATATTTCAGCTTACGTTAATTTATAAACGATAATATTAATAATGTTTGATGTATTTGATAATTACAGCTCCTGGTAAGTTTTTTTTTTTTTTTTATTTGCCTTGGTCAACGATTTCCGACAAGGAATCAAAGGGAATGCAACAAATGGATGCACCCTGCTATTTCCAATTTTTTCTGACCGATGTGACTTAGGAACAGTAAATAAAATAGCCTACCCTCTAAGACTACTGTATCTGCGATTCCTCCGGTATTGCAAATATTTATGAAACAAGGCATTCCATCTTAGTCCTCAGGGGTGACAACGCATCTGCATTTTGATTTTTAATCCAGGGTATATGTAAATGTTTAAGGGCCACATCCGTTTACTTGCAAGTGAATTGTGTGCTCATTAGTATTTAACTAATTCTTTAAAAAAAATCGTTGTCGTGGCTAATGATATAAAGATGTATGTATAAAAAGATATACAAGAGAAATATATATAACATGATATTGTTATATAACACATTACCTAAGAATTTAACAGAAAAAGTAGGAGGCTCTTTCAAAAATAACTTAACAAAATGGGTACTGGAAAATTGTTTCTATAGCCTAAAAGAATATTTAGAATGGAAAAATTAGTTTAATGATTTATGCGCTCTGCTAGTTAGATAGTCTTTTGTTTTATGTACTTAAATATTTGCACGTCTGTGAGCAAACTAAACACGTGTACATTGTAGATATTTAACTGAAGACCCTGTCAACTGTGTTTTATGCAAATAAAGAATTTGTATTTGATATCATAGCCTCCAACAGATGGTGTTAACCATATCGCATAAAAGTAAATAGAAAAATAAAATAAAAAGCCTTTTTATTTGTTATCAAACTCCAAGTAGCAGTACGTGTACTGCTATATTCCAGTCTGTAGTATACAGAGAGCCAGTATAATCTAAAGCTGAGGTATTCCATCTTAGTCCTCAGAGGTGACAACGCATTGAGCTATATGTACTACGTACTAAAGAAGCTATTCCGAACAAAAATTGTGCGCTACTCTGTGTCTTCGCGCATGCGCGGGACATAGTAGAGTCGCGCATGCACGAAGACTTTAATGTAATATAAAACATTAATATAAAATAAATATAAGAATTTAAAATAAAATCCTCTCATTTTAATCTAAATAAACATATTTCTAAATAAAATGTAATAATAATTATCTTATGGAATTCACAAATCTTTAATTTACGCAGTATTTAGTGTACGGATTGCAGTACAGTAGACTTGAACATAGTCAATGTTCGGAATGCGAAATCTAGTGCCTAGTACATATATATCGATGTGGCAACTTTTCTTTTGCCTTTACGGTAGGTACGTCAGTCTGCCTGCCTGCCGTTTACATACATAAATTTCACAAGGACAGACATCCAGACCTGGAACAATTGTGCGGGATTTGATCCCGCGGCCCTTATCTCCGCAACTCATTCATTGCTGAAGCACTGCGACATGGACACGGAGCCGTCAATTTTTATTCAGGCAATATCTCTCAGCAAAGGAAAAGGCTTGGGCCTCTCTCGCCAAACATGAGGATAGAGGTCTAGCTGTGAACTTTTATGAATTAATAACAAAAAAAGATTTTAAACACTTCCTCTTCTTTTTTAATTTTTTTTTTACTATTATAAGCCAACGCTTAACCACTATCCCACCTGATCGTAAGATACAGCCGAAGGTAGTGAAGCGCACTGATTTAAAAAAAAACTTCTCTAATAATTGTTATAATATTGTAATAAATTTTTATTTTATTTTTTATTTTTAGAGAAAGGTAAGGTTTTTGAATTCTTAAAGAATAGAATAAAATATACGGAAATAATGAAAGCTGATAGCGGTCGCGCTATAGGTGTAAAACGCAGTGATTATAATATACTCTTTGGTGTGCAATAACTTGATCCGGAATCAGGCTCAGAAGGGCTAGAACCTAGAGCCGTAAAGCCAGTTTATAAAAAAAATGATCGAGAAAAAATCGCGCGTGTCAGCTCCTACGCGTGACTGGATTGTACTTAGGGTTGCCGGCTACTGTCTTGTTTTAGATTTAGAGGGTTTGATAAGATTAAATAAAAGGCAGAGGATAAATGTTGAAAATATTTTATTTCCAATAAGATCCTATTATGGTATTAGAAACGACATGTATTGATAAAAAGCCATGTTAATACGCAATTTAACATAATTTGTCTCTCTAACAACTATATAATTTATCTCTCTTAATACGTAGTAGAGCCATGCTGGAGCTATATTAGTAGTATAGTTGTAGCACGAATGGGTCGGCTCGACCGGGGAAGGACCTTGCTCTCACAGAATACCAGCATAAAATAGCAGCTTTACACTGCTGTGTTTCGTATGGTGAGTGAAGAGAACCAGAGACCCTTTTTACTAGTAACGAGGCATTTACAGAATAATGAGTGCTGTTTCGTGTGGTAAGTTATGGAAACCGGAGACCCTAGTGTTTACTAGGGTACACATTTGCCTGTTTAGGCATTCAATCTTAATTCTCAAGGATGTCAACGCATCTGCATTTTGATTCATAACAGAGGGTAGATGTAGATGTCCACCATTTTTCTTGAAATAAATCTAGACGCGAAGCTTCAATGGAGTCCCCATATATCAAAATTAGCAAACAGACTTAGTTCTACAGCATATGCTGTAAAAAAGATTAGAAAACTCACCAGTGTTGAAACAGCTAGACTTGTTTACTTTAGCTATTTCCATAGCATAATGTCGTATGATATTTTGCTATGGGGACACGCGGCTGACACTGAAATTATATTTGTTTTACAGAAGAGGGCCATAAGAGAAATCTATGATTAAAAACCTAAAGCGTCGTTCCGACAAAAATTTAAGGAGATTAATATATTAACTTTGGCCTCTCAATACATTTATGAAAATGTAATCTACGTATACAAAAATAACAGTAGTTTTACAATAATAAGTGATATTCATTCTGTAAATACTAGGAACAGGCTCAAGTTAGTAGTACCAGTTACTTGACTCCACCGAGTCAGTAATTCATTCTTGGGGCGATGTATATACGCTTTTACAACAAAATCCCAGAAAATATACAAAGTTTGACCTGCTCAAAGTTCAAAAACTTTATTAAACAAAGTTTATATAAAAAGGGTTATTATTAAGGAATTTATGGATGATAATAACCTCTGGGGATGAGGTAATCGCTACCAAGCTATTTCTAATTTGTTTTGTGTGGTCAATTGTGTAACATACATGATTGTAAGCTGTTATTTAAAAAAAAGTCCCGCTGGGTTTTTTGCTGGCTCTTCCCAGGACAAAAGTTTTTTGAACCAGTGGTAATTTAAACAAAAGTGTGACTTTCAATAAGTATTATTTATAATCTATATTGAATATAAAGTTTCTGTTTCTGTTTCTGTTATGGACCGCTGCATCTTACCACCATTAGGTTGTGTGTAGGCTGTGTGTTCATGTTACTTTTACAACTCATTCAGAAAACTTATATAACCGTGAAATGAAACTAGTTTTAATGATTTTAACATGTTTAATTTTACATTTTTAACTGGGAGCAGTAAAGCACCCAAAACCGCGGGAATAAAAAAAAATTGAAATTAAACGCGATAAAATCTGTAAAATTAGTTTAATTTTAAGTGTAGTGTTCGCGTAAATATAAGAAAACATTATCTAACGTTACGTTTTTTTGTATCTAATAAGAGCTTTCACAGTAATTACATGTTTATCTTTTTAATTATTTTTTTTATTTTAAACTTGTTTACAGACGTTGGTAAGTACCGTTTTATTTGTTATTTTATTGATATTTTAAATTCATTTTCACATACCTGTGACACCTAATATCGGTATTTTGTTGTTTCTGAACTTTGGAAGTGAAAACTCCTGTAGAATACCTAGTTGTGATTTGAAACTCGATGAAACGAAAAAGCGACATTAAAAAGAGAAAGAAAGAAAGAAAGAAAGAAACATTTATTTGCACAGAATACAGGTGGTACCAGATTTAACAGTGGTGCATAGTTCAAGCTATATTCTGCCTTTAATAG